AACTTTTTGATTCTTCCAGAAAAATTCAAACATTTGTTTGGGGTCAGGTCATCTCAACACAGACGTGTTCTCAGCATCAAGCACCTAATTTACATAATTACATCATTTCAAATCGATGGCAGAAACAACATGTGCTGAATCGAATTTAGAATTTGTGATTAGATATTTGACTACAGCCACATGAAACAGTCTTTTTAAAATGTATTTGTTTGTTGGGGGTTTCCTTCCTTTCATGTGAATTATATGTGTTTGACACATATAATATATATTGCTCAGCTCACCTCGATTTCTGACCCCCTCTTCATCATAGCCATTACCATATAGATAAAGATAGCCGTCATTATTACCTACACCTCTTTTACAATGATGGTGATTTGCTCAGCCATGAGGGACCACCACATGTAGACCTGGATTATATCATATTCATGAATGTGGCTATCATCATTATTATTATCTTTTTTTTTTCTTTGGTTCTGAAGCCTGACGTTCTCTTCAAAAATACATGTTGTTCTTTTACTCTGTGATTCATAAACAGCTCCAGTGATGAAAGCATATTGGCTGCGTTGGCGATCCGGCTTCTTGTAAAATCAACAAGAAGAGACAACTTTGCCTCCAGCAAATCACGTCCTAAAGTGATATTTTTTTATTGCTTGCCAAAATTCCTTTTTGGTTTGCTTTGTGTCATTTATCAGCTACAATGAGCGAGTGGTTGGCTGCCCGCTGGCATTGAAAGGTGACGATTAAGATGTTGCTAGGATTCAGGCTCGACTTTAGACAGGGGTGATTGTAACGCGACAGATCTGGCAGCAGGTTATGTCAGGAGTGCCTTTTTTCTGTTGCCAGTGTTGGAAAAGGACCTTTCCACACATTTCCAAAGAGCACTTAAACAATAAATGCCCATGTCGCTGAAATGTTGTTGCCATGGCAGTGGTTGTCCTGCCATCTAAACCGTAAGAGAGATCAAAATTAATCTTCAAGTGACTAAAAAAGCTTTGAACGTGATACATACTCGGTAATGTATTCAAGTCCTTTTCCCATGCAGTGAATCAGTGGATTTATGAGTCTGTTAAAGCAACAGGTTCCCATAATTTAGGACATTGGTTATGTTTATGTTTCAAGCCACATGGGTTTCTGACATAAGGCTTTTCAGAACGATAAGTTTAAGCATATAAGTTTAGGTTTGATGCTCAAGGGCTAATGAACTTTTGTAACAAAATGATTCCTGTACAATCATGTTTGCCATCTGGCCTCTCAACACAAACAAAAAAACAGTTTACACTGTATATGTATGTAGCCTATGTATGTATGTATGTATGTATGTATGTATGTATGTATGTATGTATGT